CTAGACTCCGCTGAGCCTTGTGTGGTAGTTACGGCGTCACAGGGTTAGGGCCACAGGCTTTTTATAATATAGATTTCTTTTTCCTGCAACAAATTTGTGAATATGTCATTAATTCTTCCCTAGCTAGAGAAGCTCATGCTTTTCCAACCCTAGAGCTCTAAATGAAATGATGGAGAACAAAATGACAAAGGCTAATGGAAATGTCAACTGCTCCCCGAGAAGGAAGGAACGTGGCCTTCAGTCAAAAACTCCGAAATGGTGGGGAGGAATGGGAGTCCTCTGGCAGGTTTGCTCCTAAGGATTTCGGCAAGGGGATTTGTGTTTTCTCTAGTTCTCTTTCCAAAGCAGTGGCTCTCTTCCTGAGGACTTCATGGATGTCCAGTTTATGAAATATAGATGCCATTTTTTAAAAGAATCAAAATTGCTTATGAAAGTCACTGCTTTCAAGTGCTGGTAGCAGGTACACTTGACCCTGAATACAACAGTAAGTCGTCCTTGTTCCTTCTTATTTTCCTGGAAAAGGGACACATTGAATAAAATTATAGAACTGAGATGGTGAGTCATTGCATGCAGCCGGTCTCGCTTCAAGTTTTACCATTTCTTTCAGGACTCAAAATAGCTGGTGAGTCATTGCATGCAGCCGGTCTCACTTGCTTCAAGTTTTACCATTTCTTTCAGGACTCAAAATAGCTATTGATGCACAGCGTCCAAATTTTCTTTAAGGGCCACATTTCTTTTGTATTTAAGGGCATAAGTAATCTTTCAAATAGGCAGAACATGTGTAGAATCTTTGCTAGCTGGAGTGCACGAGAACAAAAGGACCACGTGAGTGTTTCATGGCACATGTTCTGGAGGACAGAGGTCCAAGGGAGAGCAATCTTGTTCAAACAGCTTAATGTCATAAATGATGGAAGCGAGGTCCACAGAAACAAAGCCGCACAGTGCAATTAACAACTATCAATACTTAAGTTGAAAAGGAAGACATGGAGACTGTACAGGTAAGTCTGAAAGGTAATAGAGATGTTGGTACTTGGAAGTGTAAATAATTCAGACTCTGAAATCACACGTCTAAAATTCAAAACACATCACATTGTCTAAATCACCCAAGACCTTCGGGAGTTACCGTAGCAGCCTGGTGGTGCTGTGCAGTGTCCTGCAGAGGTTATGCTCATTTCAGTCCCTAAATGGCAACATAGCCATTTACAAACAAGCAAGCATCCATGAGGGAATCACTCACCCACAGAGTGGTCACCGAGGCCTGGGGACAGGCTATTTCTTTGATGATTACTCCTGCCCTGCCGTTTATCTTACGGTTTTCAGGACACCTTCACTCACTGTAATAAACTCTATCTTGAGCTTTTAGATCTCATTCCAAATCCACATGTGTAGGGAGGTTCTATCTTTATGCAAAGCCTTTATGAGGCTCAAGACTACCATAAAATAGGCTTGTATATATATAAATTACAGGCTTTATTTCTAATTATCTCTAATCTCCATATCCAATAATACCAGAGAAATGTCTGTGTATTGAAGTTGGACAACCATATGCTAAGGAATGACAGAGAAAAGAATAAAAAAGACAAAACCCAATGTATACTATACAGAAGAGGTGAAATAGAGAACTAGCTGAGAGCTTATGTTCTGTTTCAATTCCTTTCTACCCTTACAGAATATCTATAATTAATTTTGTGATTATCATGTATAAGCCCTCTTGGAAACCTGAAGATGTAAAGATAGAAAGACAGAGTCAAATCTGTACTCAGTAATAAAACAAAAGGTTGGGTTATGTTGATAAAATAAAATATTCATGATTTTAGTTTATTTTGTTGAATTTATTAATAACCTTTATATATTTATATTTGTATGGCTTTGAGCAAAGACAAAAGAAATACTCTACCGCGTCCCTGATCATACAGTTGTTGGAAGAATCAGCTAGTCTACTATTTCCCCAGCAGCAGAAAGATCAGTCTTTTCAATAATACATTTCTTTCTGTACAGATTAAAACTCCATACTCATGGGCTTACCTAGGTACAGAGAAAAGAGGTCACTTGTCAACTAGCAATTGGCTTTTATGTTACAGGAATGTGAGTCATTTTTTTTTCTTCACCTAAGTATATAGATTCACACATAGATGTAAATAATTCACCCTGCACCACTGTTAGTTTAACATACAAACCTTAGCTTTTTGTCCATTCTGTTACAAAGGGAATAAAAATTGTTTTGGTTGCACTAAAAGACCATGAAATTCAACCCTGCTCACGTTTCCCAATAGTCCTGGAAATAAAAAGCCCAAAATGTATCTATTGTATAAAAATATTTCACTACCAAACCCATTTGTCCTATCAAATGTAAACCTTTAATAATTTAAAGGATCAATACATGATCTTAATAAATTGACATTAACTCTCCATCTTTTAATAAAATAAAGGAGTTTTGTACTGATATGTAAATGGTCTTGCAGTTTTCCCATAGGATCTAGGTAGACTGAACAACCCCATTCTTACACCATTCCCGACACGCCATCCTGTTACCAGCGTGGTACCGATAACATTACATTGGCTAGCATTGTTGATCCACATGAGCTGGGATCTATCAGAAATTAAACACAATGACTCATTTTGGTATTATAGATGTTTTTTTCCCACAAAAGGCATGACAGGCAGCATGGATCCATTTTAGAGTTTTTCTTTTGTTTTGTTTTCTGTCTTCAAGTCTGTTTGGGGATCCTCCCCATTTAATGTGGGATCTTGCTTAAGTTCTTCAATGTGTCACCAGCGTCAAAGATACTGAAGACCTCCACTCTAGGCCATTCTCTCACGTTGGGTTATTTACAGAAGTTGGTAATTAGGGATCCTCCGATTGTGTTCCAGTCACCCGCCACGTTCCTGGGATGCATTAGGCACAAATCATTACTACGGGGCTCCCTTCAGAGGGCGAAGATGTTCCCGGATCATTGAAAGAGTTAAGGAAACAGACAGATACACAAACAATGCTCACATTCAGTTCCACCCTGCTTTCCGTCACCATGTCTAGACTTTTCTCAGCACTTTTAAAACAACACACCTCCTCTCCAAGGCCCACATTAACACCATATGCCTTAAGATTTCCTAACCACTCAGTTACAATATATATAGAGCGAAGCGTGTGTTCCCAACAGACATGATGCTGCTATGAGCATTTATTTCTTTAAATCAACACCACAGTAAACTGCCAACTACAGTGAAGACAGAACACACGGGCAACTCCAAATCAAGCTGTGATTTACAAGTCATTATTTAAATAATAACAATAATAGTAATCATATTAAAAGAAAGTAAAAACCTCACTTCTAGTCTTAAGATAGAGTTCCATCCGAGTCAAACTTACAGGAATTTTAAGATAGGCAATTAATAAAATTGGTATATATTTCCAGAAATGAGAAATGCTGTAAGCCTTTCCCTACAATGACTGCTTTCAACCTATCCCCCCCTCAAAAAAAAGCATGCAGGGATATTTTCCAATGCTTGATTATGGCAAGAAGGAAGAAAAGTGATGGTTCTTGGTGTAATACAAGCAATTTGTAGAATCGAGCATACAATTTTGCATAAAACATTGCAGGTTAAAATAACATTGTAGGTTTCAAGCCATTGCATTACAGTTGAATAATTGTCACAATTAGGTTTTGTAAAATTTAAAACTCTAGATTTTGAAGTGAAACAATAAAACTAAATTCTTAAGTGATGACTTTGACCTTCATTCAGCACGGAATAGCTATTTTTTATTTGGGTTGAAAAGATTATTTACAACTAACATTGATTGAGTCTTGGAAAAGTCCAATAACGCAGGAAGAGAAATATCCCCTCGCTATCTGAATGAACAATGAACATGTTTGAGGTTAGAGATATTCCTAACACTGGCTGCTACTCTCCTACTGTGGCCAAGCATATACAACTGTTCTTTAACCTATGTCAGAATGGAAAGCACCAAATGACAATTTGGATCTATAAAACGGGATTTGCTATTTCACCCTCCATAACGAATGATTAACGATTTAGATGCAGAGACACAGCTAATGAAGGAGGTGTTGATTGGTGCCATTCAGTAGCTCACTTGAGCTGCCTTTTAAAATCAGGGTTTTGTTTGCATCGAATCCAAGAACTCTTCCTAAAATATAGAAATACATATATCAAAGGAATTCAGGAAAAGCAGGTTAAAAATAAATAATCTTACAACAACATTTTAAATCTTTTTTAATGATTTAAAGCAAGGAAGACATATATAACACTGAATGCTAAAGAAGTCTTTGAATTTCTCTTGGATTTTAGATATATATTTAATATTATATGTATATATATATTTATATATATATATATATATGGCTTGCTATGTGCCAAGCAGGGCTCTGAACACTTGTCATAGCCTGTCTAAAATATCTCTTCATAATAGGCTATAGGGATGTGTCAGGAGATAGAATAAAATAAGATCTGAGAATGTTCTCGGTTCATTCGAGTCTGTGTGACAATCGGCAGGGATCATAAATTTGAAGAAAATCGTGGTTTTTCCACCTCTGGGTCTGTTTTTAAGACTGAGGAAGGCTCTTTCTGAAGGGGGGCCGCCGGCGGAGGGGGTGCAGGAGGGACTCCTCGGGTGGGGGGAATGGCTCCTGACGACATCTGTCGGAACAGGGTCACCCTCTGGGGGACAGTGCCCCTGCCCCCCGCCTGCAGGCTCCCGCCGTGGACGGCTGGCACGGGCTGAGGGATGGAGGCCAGGGACTCGCC